GACTTTGAGCAACTCCTCTTCGGATCTCCGGTACCTACCTCCACACCCAGGAGGCCACCTGGCCTTCCTGGTTCCCTGAGTTCACACCTGTGTGACTGCCCGGGGGACCCAGCCCCTTCCTGGCTCAGAAAGGAACAGCCCCACTGTCCTTGGAGAGGGCGGACAGGCCTGCCCAGCACTCTGGAAAAATGTGCTCCTGCCGAGGGAGGGCCGTGCTGACCTTGCTGTCTGGGAGAGGAAGCTCGGTTAAGTCATAATGAGTGACTTCCCGTCAACGGGAAGTTAGCCACCAGCTCAGACTCTGCGACGGCGGGGCCGAGCCGGTTCCGGCAGCCTGGGCGGGCCCTCCGGGAGCTGCCCGGCTCAGAGCGAGCCGTACACGCTGATTTTGACCATGGAGATGCTCTCGGTGTAGCGGCTCAGGCCCTTCTCGTACAGCACGAACAGCTGCGGCGGCTGCTTCTCCCCATCTGCGCCGCTTTCCAGCGCCGTCAGCGACGAGTAGCCGCTGGGTCCAGGCCACAGCTGGACCCTCTCCTTCTGCCAGGACGTGCCGTTGCTGAAGCTCCAGCGCAGGGTCAGGTTCACGCCTGGGAGAGAGGGAGTCAGGGGCCCCGGTCCCAGTGCCCCTGCACCCCACCTATCCTCCATCCCCCACCCATGCAACCCTCCCACCCGCCCCATCCAACCCCCTATATCACCCCATCCCCCATCCCCCTCGTACCCTCCCCTCCCACCTCCTCCCCAGCCATCCCCCTCCCGGCCCCCTCGGGCACTCACGGAACTCGGGGTGCGCTGGGTTGGAGAAGAAGACGATGCCGGAGCTGGTGGCTAACGCTCCCGCAGCCACCACGGGGTCGACGAGCTCGGGGTCGAAGGTCACATCCCGCGGCCGGAGCGTGTCGCAGGCGTCGTAGCTGCGGAGCACGATCCTGCAGCGGCAGTGGTAGTTGTTCTGGTTGCGGGCGTTGATGATGACCGAGCCGTCCGGGAGCTCGTAGGGCTGAGGGGAGAGGACAGGGCCTCAGCACCCGGGGCGCCGGGCCTCTCGGGCCTCACGGGGCGGCGGGCGGGCTCCCGACCTGGCACTCGTCGGGGTTGAAGTCGTGCTCGTGCTTGGGCTGGCCGAAGGGAAGGCCGCTCACGCCGCTCCCGTAGCGCCAGGACGCCCCGTGGTCGTCACTGAGCAGGCAGAAGACCCCGTCCCGCTCCAGCGTGCCGTGCCCGCACACGATGAGCCGGCCCTTCCCCGGCTCCCGCCGCTTCTGCGGGGAGAGGGCGCGGGGTCACGGGGGGGGGGGGGGGGGGGGGCCGGGAGAGGGCTAGCCTGGAGCTTAGTAAGGCTGGAACACAGGTCCGCTCGGCGAGGGCTGCGCCAGGCGCTGGGTGAAGGGCAGAAGAATGAAGGGATGGAGGAGAGGGAAACGGCTCACCCTCCCTAAACGCAGTGTTTACCTGAGACAGGGTCTCGGTGGCCTCCAACTCCCTGTCCAGCTCCTCATCCTCCCCATCCCACTGCCTGATGCTGGAACTGCAGGCACGCTTTCCACCCCCTTAAGACAGGGTTTCTCTGTGTGGCCCTGGCTGTCCTGGAACTCACTCCATAGACCAGGCTGGCCTCGAACGCAGAGATCTGCCTGCCTCTGCCTCCCCATGTACTCTTTTCCGTTCCTTTTCCTTTTATGTGTGTTTGGGGGGGGGGGGGGGCGTCTCTCTGTGAAGACGGGCTTGGAACTGACAGTGTAGCCCAGGCTAGCCCTTAACTCATAGTGGTGATTTTCTTAGTTTTCATTGTTGTTCTTAAGTAAATGTCTGGTTAGCTACACAGAGAAATGGATTCCAATGTGACCCTCTCATACACACATGGATCATGCCTGGTCCTCATGCCCTCCCCACTGGACGCTCCCTAGACGCGTGGTGTGTCCACCCAGCCTGGGCAGCGCCAGGCCAGCCTGGGCTCAGGGATCCCGATGGGCACCGGGCACTGAGACCCAGGCACGTGTCAGCCACCGGCCACCCAAGCGGCCCCCGCACAGGTGAGCACAGGTCTGCTTCCGAGGGGTCCCACCCAGGGAAGACTCGGCTTGGCCCTCTCCCCATCCCCAGGGTGAGCACCTGGATGCCAGAGCCGGGGCCGGGGGCAAACATCTCTGTGCCGACCTCCACGGAGAGGTTGCGCGGCGGGCTCCAGGAAACGCCGTCGTCCTTGCTCCACACCAGCATGGTGGAGGCCACCTGGCAGCTGACCTTGTGAGCGCACAGGGTGTACACGAGGAACACCACCCCCGTGTCCGCATCGCTCACCACCGCCCCGAGGTTCAGCCCGTCCGAGGCCTCCCCGTCGTCCACGATGAAGGCTGTGGAGGACCACGTGCTACCTGGGGAGGGGGAAAAAGAGCAGAGTGACTTCCTGCCCCCCACCCCCAGGGGCCTCCGCGGCACGGGACCCCGTTTCTTCCTTCTCTGACTTACTTCCTACTCACCGCACCCAGCTGCAGAATTCCCACCCCAAACCTCGGCGGGAGCAGTTTTCCCTCGGGTTTCCCTAACCCAGGAGGGGGCCAGGCCTCTAGCTTCTCTCTCTGGGGGGCTCGGGTTGGCGAAGGGGTCCCACCCCCGACCACCCAAGCCACCCCCGCCCTGCGGCCAGCCACGCCACCCAGCAGCAGCCGCTCTTCCCACCCGGGCGCTGTGTACCCTGGTCCGTGGACCTCCTCATGGCGATGAACTTGGCGCCCTGGTCGGCGGCCGACTTCTTCCTGGCCTCGGCGAAGGCGAGCAGGGTGCCGCGCGGGGTGGCGGCGATGAGCGGGATGCGGAAAGTGTCCACCGAGCCGATCTGCCTCCCGCTCAGCCACAGCAGCTGCTCCATGGTCACCAGCGGCTGCACCTGCGCGGACGGACGCCTCAGCGCGGGGCACGCGCGGGCTGCGCGAGGGGGGCGGGGAGCCCTCGGGGACCGGCGGGGAGCCCTCGGGGACCCGCGAGGGCCCCAGGACGAGCGGGGGGGCGGGGAGGCCCGGGCGGCCCGCGGGCCAGGGCCGCCTCCGCGGGCGCAGCGGGGCTCACCAGGCCGAAGTCCTCCTCCGCCGCGGACCGCACCACGGACAGCAGGAGCAGGAGGCCCGCCGCGAGCCCCCGAGCCCCACGGCCCGACCAGCAGCGGCTCAGCGGCGGCCGCGCCATCGCCGCGGGAGCCACGTCCGCGAACCCGGCGACCCGCGGGAGCCGTCAGCTGACCGCGGCCCTTTAAAGGCGCGCACGTCGCTCGGCCCCGCCCCCTGCGAGCCGCCGCGACTCCGGGCCGCGCTCCCTCGGCACGTGACCCGGGGGCGGGCCCAGCCCGGGGGAGACTCGTTATTGGCTCCCCTGCCCGGGACGCGGCGAAGGGGCGGGGCGTGTTTTAAAGCAACAGGCGGAGAGCAAAAGGCAAAGACTGAAAAAAACACTCCAGCGGGATGGCAGGTCTGTAATCCAGGACAGCCAGGGCTACACAGAGAAACCCTGTCCCCCAAGAAACAAAACCAACCAACTAAACAAACAAAAAGACATTAGGGTTAGCATGTGACTCAGGGTTGAGTGGCGTTCTAGGTTATTTCAAGCGCCGGGTCCAGTCCTCGTCGCCACCCAAGTCAGGATGCACACCTGCAGGGCCAAGATTCGGGAGATGGAGGATCAGAAATCCAGTGTCTTAGAGACTCAAGGCCAGACTGGGCTAGGACAGGCACGCACGCACACACGCACGCACACAGGTGTGGGCACACGAGCTCATGCCAGCCTCTCCCAGGTGTCTTGTCAGGTGGGGCTGACAGGGCGTCCTGCATGCCTAGCTTTGGACACCTTAGTCACAAACCAGTCGGTTTCTGGTCCTGGGTGGATCACACACACAAGACTTGGGATACAGTGTTTGCCAAGTATGCCAAAGGCCCTAGGTCCGACTGTCCCCGCTCCCACTACACACACACACACACACACACACACACACACACGGGGAAACAGACCAGGTACGTGCTTAGGAACTGCGTGACATTTGGTTGGCCACGTTTGTTGACTGTGATCTGAATCCAGAACCTAAAATTACGGGTGCTGCTTTGAGGGTGCACAGATGCTGGACATATCCCAGAGGTCAGAAAGGGCAAAGCAGTACCTCACAGGGCGATGTGTCCCTCGGTCATCCACGACTTTAAACAGACTGCAACTCTCTCCTCCAGCGGAACCAGGGAGCCAGCGCTCGACAGAATGTCCCTCGATCCCTACCTGGGCTTCCCAAGGCTTCACTGTCTTTACACTTCTGAAGTACCACCTCAGGGCTGAGGCTCAGCCATAGCCAAACATCCACCAGGCTTCTCACAACTCTAACTCAGTTCCGGTGACTACGACACCCTCTTCTGGCCTTCTCGGGCACTGCGAGGGGAGTGTGGCCACCGGTAGATACCCGGATGGCCCCAATGGGCATAAGCCCAGGAGTTGCACTGATTACAATCACCAGGTTAAATAAGCAACTGTTGAATGAAGGAATGTATATATGAATGAATGAACAGATGGATGGATGAATGAAAGAAGAGCCTCACACAAAAAATAAAGAAAATGTAATATTAGCCGGGCGTTGGTGGCACACACCCTTAATCCCAGCACTCAGGAGGCTGAGGCAGGGGGTCTCTGTGAGTTCGAAGCTAGCCTGGTCTACAGAGCGAGTTCTAGGACAGCCAGGGTTACACAGAGAAACCTTGTCAAGAAAAAAACAAACCAAGAATTCCTGATCCTCCTGCCTCCACCTCCCAAGTGCTGGAACTACAGCCTAGAGTCCTAGGCCATGCTGAATCTGGAGACAGAGTCCGGGACCCTCCCACGCTAGGCAGGCGCCTGTCCAGCTGGGGTTCAGCCCCAGCCCCCTATCCGCAGTCCCTGAACTAATTTCCTTTACTGGGTCTCGAACCCTGTGATAGTAGTCTGGACTTTAATCAAAGAGAAGTGAGTTTGAGCTGAAAATGAAACCGTGCTTAGCAGGAATATAAAATATCAATTTTTAATAAAATCTGTTTTCTACAAAACTGTGATTGTTAAGGCAGCTCTGGCGAGGTTTCTGTACAGGAGGGCTGCAGGCCAGGTCACGATCGTCTCTCACTTCTTCCTCTTCTTGTCCCCAGTGGGTGCCTCATTCTTCTTGCCCAGAATCTTCAGAAGCGCCTTGGGCATGTAGTAAGGCCGCTCCTGGGAGCCATCGTTTCTCTCCAGGTCCTCCACTGGGCAGCAGAGTAGACCAGTTAGGGTGGGTCCCAATAAGTGGCACCCTGTGGCACCCCAGAAATGCTCCAGGGTGTGTAGACCAAACAGCCTGGCCTCCTGGGTGGGCCACTCACAGTAGTTTTCTACAGCTACCGTGAAGTGGGATAAATTACTGTGCATTTCATAGGGTGACAACGGGAGGGGGGGCGGGGGGGAGGGCGTGTCAGGTCACCATGGTGGCTTTTGTCTGCAATCCCCACATTTAGCAGTGGAGGGAGACAGGAGGACTTTGCATACAAGGCCAGCCTGAGCTCTACACAGCAAAGCACTGTCTCGGGACTGGTCCTGCGTATCCATGGCTGGGAGGCAGAGGCCGGTAGGTTGTTTGAGTTGGAGTTAGCCTCGTCTATATCGAGTAGGATCCAGCCAGCCAAGAATACACAGAGAGGGCCTATGTAAATAATAAAGTTTAACTAACCAACAAAACCCATAAGACAACAAAATGTTCATGTCAATTGCTGAGCTCGAGGCCGTGGGAACGGCTGGATGGTGGGAATGGCTGGATGGTGGGAACGGCTGGATGGTGG